TCAAAAAAAGTAAATAGTGTATGATTACAATAATACGACGCGTTTACTGATACAATTAAATACATTAATGAGGTTCGGTCTAAACAAGTAGAAAGTATTTTAAACAAAAATAGTAACAATTTGCAAAGTTAAATCAAACTTTTAAAATCGTACCGAATGTAACAATAAAAAGGCATTAAAATAAACTCTGGCATGTTTCAATTAGGTAACACGGCGAGAGGCTGTGTAACTTTAAGTGTTTTTCTTCCTTGAATATGAAATCTCATTTTAGATATGGTTATATAACGGTATGTAATAATCATACAAGTACTTACACATGTGCAATGATAAAAATAAAATATAAAACATTACATTTTGAATAATATATGTTGATGGTCTTGAACTAATTCTAAAACACTTAAGGCGTTTACTTGATTAGTGAAATACTGTAAGTGCACTAATTATAAAAGATTGCTAACAATGTCAAGTCTGTTATGAAGTGAATCAACCACCATTAGTATGCTTGACTATGTTATCTGCACCAACCAGTCGATAGAATTTTAGGTATACAATACATTGCATTACAATAACACATGACTATTGTTTTTTTCTACGTGGCATTTGAACTTGATTATTTTCCTCACTCATTTGTCTACTCAATCAATACATCTATAGTTGTTTTGCGAACATGAACAAAAGTAAAAAAATCTAATTATTCAAATTGCTAAATATTGTACCTTAATTAATGTGAACATAAGGCGTCAACAAACACTCATGCAAATTTCGTTTATTATGTAATCGATCAAAGTATTATACATAATTATCGACTACAGTTGGCTCATGAAATTCCTTTGTAAATAATTCTAACGTATGCAATTTTTGAAACCACTAAGTTGAAAAAACTAAGTAGATAAAAACAGAAAACATATGTGTGTTAAGTAGCTCGGGAAATAGCATTCTCTAGAGACCAATGCATATAATGTTTTGATATATTAAGAGAAGTGAACAGAATAACGAACTCATTGATGTCTGTAAGTGATTGATTGGAATAAATGATTCAAGACACCAATATATTATCGTGTCAAATTGTATCATCCTGAAATATGAACGCTTTTAACAGAACACATTAACACAGTATTTTGACACAATTGTTTTTTTGATTTGATTTTTTATTAATAGCACGGAGTATGAGTGTTTCAATTATAAAATTAGAATATTGTGAATGCGTGTAACTGTAATTGTAAGTGTTGATATTATGCTTGAAAATAAAATCAACATCCATCTTTTAGAAATTCTTATTTTACGGCATTAAATAATTAATATAAAAATGTGTTGACGTACCATCTCAATAACATTGCTATGCGTAAAACAGGATAATTATCAAGTGTATTCCAGGCAACAAGGAATGAAATATACAGCAGTGCGTCATTGACCGAATAAATGAGTTAACCCTGTCCGATTTCATTACTTCTCATGGATTAACATGTTCGTGTAAGAGAAGGCAATGCAAAGTCTTGTCAGTAGTACTCTAAATAACATGCATTAGTGAACCCTATTAACCTTCAGTACAAAGCATATGGCGATAGTTTAACTCTATATGTACGTATGGCATGTACCATACACATACACTGATTGAAAAACTTCATACTTGAATTGTAAAACGTCATACATATGTATGAAATCAGAATATTACTTTATTGTATACACATATATCAGATATCACGTGACTTGCAATAACGTATATTAACAAACACAGCATGTTATGCACGCAGCGATGGTATGTAATTGTCTGTATTTTCGGGTAAGCTTTATGTGTAATGGCATAATGTGTTATTGAATAACCTTTGGGGTTACTGTAATAGTGCTAACAATAATAAATAACTGATTCTTTAATAACAAACAATATTGCTCCGTGAACATTTTCCTCTCTCAATTGCGAAGAATGTGTAAGGAGAACTATTAATCATACTATTTAAAAATAATCTTTCGTAAAAAAAAAATAATATCATTCAAACCACCCTCTAAATGAATGCGACACGACAGAACAACAAATGTTCGATTGTTGTATTTCTTTACGTATATAAACTACATCATCTAACTCATTGATGATCACGTGGTGATCATATGCTGATATTATTAATTCGTTCACTTGCACTCGTTTTTGAGTGAGTGGTTTTGAACCTTTACGTTATACAAACTATCTATCACCGTATCATAATATATACAGTTTTTGTATATCGATATGTAAACAGAATAATAATAAAATAACGCAATAATAAATAGAAAGAGACAAGTCCAATTGACATGACTTTGCGCGGATGCATCGTTCTACAATTATTTCCTAATACATATAGTCTATATGACCCAGTGGTGATCATATTTCGTTATCAAATATTATGTTAAAATGGACATAGAATTGCACTTTTAAGAAATAACGGTAACAGTTTGAGTAAAGTAGACATCTGCAATATTTGTTTTGTATTTGATGTCATGATGTGATATAGTATAAAATCTACCAGTATTCTGAATGAGAGTGACATCATCATAGAGAAGTGAATCTTCGTATAGCAGTCACACTCATCCGAGCTGTAAGCTACACGAGTCCAAAATGACGTCAATCGTTACCAAATAATTATGTATTCATCATCCGAACACGGGCCCACAAGGCAGATATCATGCGTGTAATTACTATTAGATTGTTATGTAATATATGATAGGAGTACTCGACAAACTTTGGGCAAACATAATACGATGTCCAAACGCACTGTGTATTTCAATTCGCATAGGGGTTATACACAAAATACACGCAATTTACACGCGTGTGTGCATGACGTATTTTTCAGCAACTTATGTCAACAGTTTGTATATTGAACAATGTCATACTGCGTATTGTGTTCAGTATATATATAGAGAGAGAGAGAGAGAGAGAGAGAGAGAGAGAGAGAGAGAGAGAGAGAGAGAGAGAGAGAGAGAGAGAGAGAGAGAGAGAGAGAGAGAGAGAGAGAGAATGCATTTACTTTTACTGTGAAAGTAAACCGTTCTTCGAGTTTCAAATTTATACTATCAAATATATTTGGTCATAATTTGGTTTTATATAAGTTTTGCTACATTTTTATCTATATTCAGATTATGAATTCCATGTACTGATATAAATTAAGTTTCCGAGGCTTCGGGAGTACCCGGGAAATTAGTTTCACAACAGTCATGGTTCTATTCTCTCGCATTAAGCTGTTAAACACATACTCACTCAAATTACACTTTTTCTCCTCATTAAGGTTAGTTATTGTCAAGCTTGGTCGCTCTTCCCCCAGGGAAAACACAATTTAATAAAATTAAATGACAGTATATGCTAGATTGACGTCATTATTTTGGAATCATAGTACCCGTGCACTTAAATTAATGAGAATAATCATCTCGCAAGCTCAATCCTCCCGTAGACTAAATCTTGACTACGGGGATTTCGCCTCATAAGGCAGACAATAAGAGATTGTTCACCATCATAAAGTTGTTCATATTTGAGCTGGAGTATGAGACCGAAACCATTTCTTATATATGGTTTACACTTTTCGTACATAAACACTATTAATTATCATTGCTATCAAGCAGACAGGTTCATCCCACAATCTATAATTAACAATCCAATAAAACACTATCACTAAAAATGATTCTTTCCAAAATTCATTGCTGGAGAGAAAACTATCATAAATTGCATTGTGTTTAATTAATATTTGTCGCCAAAATTTAGGAAGTTAAGGATAAAGTCTCCTATTCAAATTTCTCTCCGCAAATCTATCTCAACTTGTTATTTCATGAGATAACCTTATGGCATTTCATGTTTCCTCATGCTTGACAATATACGTTCTTGCTTTGTTTGAGATTTAACGCACCGTCGGATCTATCTGACAATTATACAAACATTTTACGTTAATTATAAAAATACTTTTCATCTAGTACTTTTACTCAAAACTCAAGACAATGCTACTGCATTCTACGAGGTGCACTGGAATATATATCAAATTGTCAAATCGCCATTAATTCTACCGTTCAAAGTATTATCTCATTTACATCATCATCTAGGTGCTCGTACTGTACTTAGATATGTTCAGCAGTCTAAACCTACTTACAATAAATACCAAAGTTATACAACATCAAGACAATTGAATATTAGCCAAAAGATACACTGGCTTGGTATCATTTTAGTTCACCCAAGGCTGGTAAAATATTGATTTAGACAGTGTTTCGACGTGACCTTCAACTATCGGGGTAGGTATTCTTCCCTAAAACCTTCTTTTTTATCTCATTTGAAGGTTGGGCTGTCTAAAGACACACTTCAATGCGAATTCATTGACTCGTAGCGTACAGCACACATGTAGTCGAGAGCGACAGATTACGTGACATCGAACACTGCGTTTGCTGGTGATAACAACTCACGGAACTGGCAACAGTACATTAAATATTATTTTAAATTATAGCATTGCTTATTAGCATAATTCTAAAAACAAATTAATTTAACAGATCAGCTTTGTATGGTTCAAGTTTAAAGGCTGAATAGGCTCTAATATACACCCACTACTACATAAATTATGCAAAATAGTAAGTTAAATGCTCTAAATTGTTGCCACAGTTTTTACCAGAAATACAATATGGCGGCCAAACTATGTGACCGAACTATTTGTTTATTTTCTCTCATAATAAGCTTCAGACATACACGGTACATGTAAAATATCAAGTTCATTGGTTAAAACACCCATGAGAAACATTTTAGACGATATAACCCTGTGAGTTCTCAAAATTATTTCATTTCATTCGTATATGGCAATATATGTTAAACACAAAATATCCAGTTGTCCAGTTAAATCACTTCTAAAAAAACAATTGCTCCTATTTTTGTCGTATTTGGCAAGATGCCTGGAAAATTACGTAACTGATGTGAATTATTTGTTTGCAGTGAGTTCTGAATAAATATGCAACAAAGCTTTGCAAACTGTAATGTGCATTATACTTAGATGCCAAAAAACAAACAAATTTCAGATCAATCAATATTGCTGATCCAAAAACAAGATACGATATGTGAGTGTGAATCGAAGGACTTCAAAGCATGCAGACTATTGACCGCAAAGCTAAACTAAAGATGTATATAAATTGAGAGGAAGCTAACATCAGACAAGGAATAGTGATAAGAATTGTTAGGTTTCATGAATAACAAAGTAACGATAAAGAAATAACAGTTTATGATTACGTCACTCTTACGTTTGCATTCGATTAACATATAACGCAAACTCGTTGGATGGTTATCAAATTAAACTAATCACAAAAGTTCTCACTAATATCACGGAAATGACGGCTGCAAAGGAGATATTATATCTGTATGCATTGTCTGTTCATTGCCATATAAGTTGATTCCTAATAAAATACCCTCCAAACATTGTGTAATTGTTTCCTGTATACGGCTTTAATTGCACAGTACCAGATGCTACGTGTATAATACATAGTTTATTATGCAGTGTGCGCAAGATTACGTAGAAAATGAACATTTGATATTTATGGAACACCTGCCACCAACTCATTAGAATTTGACGAGTATTACAGACATCAGTATCTCGAATCAAGATACAAGTATCAGTAAGTGTACTTCTATGAAGAACGTCAAAACAATTGCATTTACTATACTCACCTTTCTTTTAGTTTGTTCGTGTTCTTTATCCCGTACTACGTTCGCTTGACCTGGAAGTCGTCGGTTCCACAATCTGAAAGCTACCCTCAGATAACAACCAGTGATAATAGCCAACGGTACTAAATATGTCACAATAAACAGTAACCATATATACAATTTTGTAAGATTCCAATACGATGATACAGGCCATCTCTCCGTACATACATACGCTGTTCTATTGCCTTTCACTGGATATCCAACCAACAGCGAAAACACAGGCTTTGGACAGGATAGCAATATGGCTACTATCCATATTAAAACCAGCATTGCAGTCTTCTGACGTGAAGTTATTCTTCTTTTGAGTGGGTACATGACTGCATGGTACCGATCTATTCCTATAACTACCAAGGTGAATATGCTGACAATTTCAGAAATCTGAAACATGAAACAGAACATGTTGTAAGATCAATTATTCCGCACTATTTGTCAGGTTGAAAGCAAAGATCAATATTTAGCAGAATTAGAGAAATCGTATTAAAATCCGATGCAGACATAGGCTTTAAAATGGATTTTAAACAGATTGTTTTCCGATCTAATGAGCACATTAACCTTTTTGTCTGGGAGATTTGTTTAATAAATACACATCTGCACGTTGATATACGGAGGGTATCTCACGAATGACTCAACATCTTAAATATGTATTCCCGCGAATATGTTATCATGTTTATTTTATATATCCAAATCACAAACACTAACAGTAATTAGTGAGCATTAAGACCCCGTGGAGTATTGACACAGAATATAGTATGTTTACTCTCATTATGAGATAATTTTAATTTTGGTTTTTGGATGGATTGGTAATATGATTACTAATTTTGAATAACATTTAATCTATGTCTGCTGATACATACATGTGCATTTTAACTGATATCTGAAGTATTCAACTTGATAAAATTACGTCAAGATAATAAAATTCATCAGCTTATTGGAATGATTAGATTATAAGCAGTGGTGTTAATCTGTGCATTGTTCAATCAGATTACTGATATTTTTATTACGTAGTATGGAAATACTTATTACACGAAACTGTCATGACATATGGTAGCAAACGTTTTGTTGACGAAGTGGCTGTATGATATACTTATATCGTGGGCGGTAAAATAGACGTTGACCAATATTTAAGATACGTGCTTTGGTTCACGGTGAGATCTCACGTAATGAGTGACAAGCGCGATTTGAACTCGAATTAACTCTTTTTTATAGTTCAATACTGAAATACCGATATTTCAGTAAGGAACATTACGTTGGCGTGAAAACACCCTTAAGTCGTTCAAGAATTCCAAGAAATGTTTTTTTTTTGATGCAACAACGACGCTATAACCATTGTTTGTGCTGGTTTTGTTTGATTCCACGCATAACACGGGATCTCTAGAAGTTCAGGAAATGAGATATTGACGTATATATGGTTTCTAAACACTTCTGATTTAAATGAATGTTCAAAGAAATAAACAAATATTTTAAAATGCAATAATATTACACAACTGAACACAATTCATATTTTATTCAGTGTGACATGGTTTCATTTCAGACAAAAATCTACATAACTTGTTAATGAGGCCAGTGTTTTGGCCAACGGTCAACGTCGATCATAATAATGTTTCATTTATAGTTGTTTTCTGATGAAACACCCCAAACACACACAAGCATGGAGAAATGCTATTTATAATTGGCGATATAAAGGGTTCAATAAAGAACTCACAATGCCTGACACTATTATCTGGTACTGACTTACTGTGTTTGTGTGCTTTGTGAACGTTTTTATGCCCGCGAAACAGACAACACGAAATGGAACTGTGAAATATACATGGCGCCAGAAAAATTTAAGAGAACGGAAATCATCTATATTCATTTAAATACAAATCCTCCTCGGTAAATATACTGGTAGCAGCCTCGGTAGGAAAGTTGCGTTTTTAGTGGAACATTCTATCGTTGTGTAGGAAAGGCTTTCTGTTTTTTCTTAGTGACAATAAATAAATCTACCTCCAGTACATAAGCAATGAATTATATATCTGATAATGTAGTAACCATACAGGATAAGTAAACAGGACCAAACAATCAATAAATCAATCATTACCCCATTAAACACCTCTTACCATTTCCGGCCATCAATTCTCACTTGATTACCAAGTAGTAGAGGACTCAGTGTTACATTGACACCAACTTTGTAATTAATAACACTTGGCAGTTTAATCATCTTTTTAAATTATTGGCCGGAGGGCGGGAGGCGCATTTTGATGTATTTCCGACGATTTTTGACTTGTATTATACTACTGCTACGGTCATTTATATTACGAAGGTATATCATTCACAAAAATGCACGTAAGTCACGTAGTCTTTAGTCCATTTGTCCATCGTAAATGCATAATCTGGTCATGCACGCTTTAACTAATTGCAATACCTCACTGTTAATCAAAAAATACACATTCAACTTGTAAACTATCGCGTCTGGGGAAAATACGAAAATATTTGTCATGGTATAGCATTATTGAATTATTGGTTAGTTTTCGATCCCAGTCGAATTTGTTTGTTCGAAGATGTTTTATAATAAATATTTAACCCACATTTGTTTTTTGAATAGTTATTTTTATTATGGGCAATCATATTCATCGGACACGAATTTACATTCGTCTATCAGACGTTGGATGTTTCGCCAATATGATATCAAATAAACGCCGCCGCGTCACTATTTTAGTATTAAAGAAAATAATACATACGAAAGTAAATGTGTAAGTCGCACTGGCGCCACGTGACCAACTCGGCTGCACGAAAAAGGGGTTATTAATAACCGAATATATTCAGCGATGAGAACGTGAAATCCGACAATACAAATTGAATACACGTGACATGCCAGATCCAAGTAAAACCTTCCTAACCTTGTAATATCGCGAGAAATGGTTAATGATAAAAAATATATGTATTTAAACAATAATAAATCCGTCAGAGCGCAATTGGACGAGAGGGTCTATGGCAAGATAATGTGTGAAGTGTCAGTGGCGGATCTAGCAAAATGTATTGGGGGGTCCAAGCTACGCTTAAGATATACGGACCGTAAATCGCAGAGAATCTATGCGTAAACCAGATGATACGAATCGTCATGCGTTTTTTTTGGGGGGGGCATGGCCCTATTTTCATCCTACCATATAAGGAAATGCGAATTCCAAATATGGAAGATTACGCGCGTAAGCGACCTCTAATAATAAAATCAAACATGGCTGCAAACGGGGTTTGACCAGACTCCACACAAAGAATTTCGCTGATGCTGTTCTAAACTTTTTGGATTTTGGCATTCCCATGATGTATCCTTGGAAGGAAAAGATGTATAATAATAAGATTATATGAGGATACCTCAAAGTATGCACTCAGACAGTACGCCGTTGCATCTCGACCTCCACTGCGCGACGGTCGATACTCCAGCTGCACTGTCTTCATGCATAATTTGAGGTATTCTCGTAATGACCTTATAATAATCAACGATATACCGTTGCCTATCTTGAGTAATATATGTCTTTGATTTGAAAGCGGGGGGGGGGGGGGGAGGTCACCTAATTTTCAATGGTATAGAAAGTTAGTGCATTTCGGTCTGAGGAGCGAAAACAACCCATTACAATAGAATAGTATAGTTTGATAAAATTTCACCATGACAACAATTTTGTATTTGGTAATTTTTTTTCAAACTTTAAAGTAGATTGATTCACTTAGTAATTTTTCACCACTACTGTGAGACAGAGAGATATTTTCGTTGATATTGCTGTAACACTATTTCAAATGATCAATTACGAACAATTACACTAATTTATGCAATATGTTAATGGTTACTGTCATTTTACATACACTCAGTTACGAACATCATCCTGTAAATATTGAGGTATTTTTTTATATAATTTGGACATCCTATATAATTTAGATAGACGAACATTATTTTCTTTTTTCGTAAATTGATGTCAACAGCCGCGAATGCAAATGAATGAGATCAAATTGCAGATCTCGCAAGAACCACGATTGGTCATCTATTATTATATATCGTCGTTTGTTCGGTTACTTCTACTATGATTCAACACGCCAATGTGTTTTAGTTGTATTATTATGCCGTATCTTAAAGACGACAATGTGACCATGTCAAATATATTGTTAGTCGGGTGTTAATAGTCCTACATTGTATATATTAAAAGTGCGTTGCCTTTGTCTATAGAGGACATCAGAATTGGAATACCCAACGAAGATAATCAAAGAAAGAAATCTGGCCGTGGATGGGTTGTGAAGCCTCAGAAGCTGCTACTTTTCAGTACTTATCATTTCCTATTTATTGACTATGCAAATCATAAACTACTATACTGTTAGCATTTGGCGGGGGGGGGGGTCGTAACCTCTCGTAGTGAGAACCAGTGTGACTGGCCTGCCGACGGGGTTAAATGTTCAATAAACGTTAGAGGTTTTGTTGATTTTACCCATATGAATAAGACACAGCAGCAAAGAGGAATCTACAATTAATGACCATATTACATGCGTCACTAACTGTAATACTAGTGTAATTATCAAATGGAACCATTTGCGTTGGTGGCACAATGGCGCACATTGTAGTGAAATGACTATGAACTCAGGCTGGTTTTAAGTTTTACGACCAACGTCAGATTATATATACCATTAACACTAACTATTCCGTGTATGTAAAACAATCACCATATGATCAACAATTGCAATGTTATACGTGATGGTTTAGCCGGTTTAAAATGTTATGAATGTGCCAGAAAATGCAAATGGCTATTTAGCCATACGTTTTAAAAGATTTGAAGGTTATTTATACATTTAGCAAGGCCAGAATGTTTTGAATGTCTATTCAATCAAGCTGGAAAGCTTTTACTGTATATTCAATGAAGCTAGAATTGATTTGAATTGAAGGATCTGAACGGTTTTTCTGTTGAGTGAGAGGATGTGGAAGTTATCGGTTTAATACTATAAACAGACCGCGATACAATAAATTAGCTACGCCAAAGCGCAGGGCACCCGACAGTGTACAGCAAAACAACACAATTAATATATGCAAACCACCTCATCATTCATAATCTAGACATAACCACAAATAACTGTTAATGCAATAAACACGGCACAATGCCTGTAAAATTAACCAATGGAATAACAGACCATATCTCTTCATTTCATTAGGACATGTTCTTGAGATAAGATGAGAGCGGAGAAATCACTTCACGTAATACACTACATAGTATTTGCAGACATTGTAAGACTGATACGGGAACGGGCGTAATGTTACACAATTTTCTACTCAGAGTTAGATTAAACCAAGTGTTGATGACCACGTGACCGGATATACAGTAATTGACAGTGAACAAAACAGAGGACCAATGGACATCGATAAATGTATAACGAAAGTGAAGCCACAGATACAGATATGTGTCATGAAATAACGGTGTAAACACAATTTAATGTGATAAACAGATAAAGCATTATCCTTCTACTTACCAGGTGTGGGTATTCACTGAGTCTGTCTAGGAATTCAATTGTTGCTGTATTAGTTATGTGCATATACGGCAACACGATATTCAGATACTATTGGTAGGAACACTTAATACGTTTTTTTATTTGTCTTCACTCAGTTTTAAGCTAATTTGATCTTTTTCAGGATGATGTCGCTGTGTTGCTCTTGTTATTTTCCTCTAAACAATTTTTTTTCATTAATTTGCCCTGTAGACTTGTTTTTGATTTTTTTTTCTGACTGGCATTTTTTTTTTCAAAACCGAGTTATAAATGCTTAACCTCTAACATTGGCTAACGGAATCATCGGTAACTGATATAATAAGTTGAAAAGAAATACTTACCTTCAGAGCAAATGGAATTAGAGTACAGAAGAATGCCCCAAATACCCACTCTACAGACATGGTTGATGCGAATAAAAACGGTAGACACAGGATACTCATGCTCCAGTCAGCGATAGCTAGATTCATCAATAAGCTGTATAATGAGTTTTTGTGTCCTTTTCGGCGAGTTAACATGACTATGGCTGAAACGTTTCCTACTGCTGACACAAGTATAGATGCCCCGAATATAATACTTAGAATTATTATTCTCTTTTCTGGTAGGGTATCTAGCGTATACACCCAGTCGTCTTCCGAATCATTACTCTGTGTGCCCTCGTATGAAATGTTCGAATTGTTATACACTAGAGTTAATGTTTCATAGTTTTCCATGATAGCATGCATTACGAACTCGCTAGATAATTAACCCTGTATAGCCAACACTGTGAATATCAGCCTAAGTAGACGCCGACGCTCCAACTGGCACTTTTCACTGGAATAATAACAACGTCGTTTACCAAAGTATATCTTGATGTTGATGGCTTGACTTGCTGAGGCAAGTCCGAGAGAAACCAATCAAGTTATAAGGCGACGATAGCACATACGTCCCCTGTGTGCGAGATTACTTACTCGGTACGCCACTTTTATAACTCCCAACTGGAAACTAACGTGTACAGATGAGCACGAGTCCAAACAACAAGGCAATGAATTATAAACTATGAAACCTCGGCATTACCACTGTTTGCAGGTAAAGCGGTTAATAACAGCGTGCGTCATCAATTATGCGTTGTGCACTAAAGTACAGGGAGTCACGCCCCAACTATTCGACCGATCTCCAATACCTTGCTAATGATAATGATGTGGGTATCTCGCAATGAAGTTACGGCGTCTTTTCATATGTTATTATCTCCACAGCCTCCTGCGCACATCCTTTTGCATTGAAACTAGCTTCACGTAGTGCGGTGAATATATAACATCAATATCTATTATGTATATCGATTAGTCCTGTAGATTTTGCACAGAGGTCGATGCTGCGTTAATCTATTCCAAATACTACTTTTCCCAACCAGGTTTTCACTGCTAATTTACAGCGTTAACTGAATTAACAGCGGTCTGACTCTACCATAGACGCAGCTACAACAGGTAGTGAAGATAAGTTAGCATTGCGCATGCTCGGCACGTAGTACGGATGGCTACTTCACTGGATATATTTGAATGCACACGTTTCAGTTAAATTCTTAGGCACATTCATAAAATGCAATATTTTGCTTGATGGGTTCACGCGTTCTGCATTCCCGCTGTCTAGGTGATCGAGTTGTCGATGGGATATCTAACATATATAACGCATTTGTTTCATTGAGTCGACACAGCTGTTCGTTGAATTATTTTGAAACATAGTAAACATTACATCAAAATTGCTTCTATTCAATTGTAAGCTGTGTTTATTATGAAACGGTACCATCACTAATGATGATTTTATTAGAACAAACACACGTTTTCTTGAAATACTACTAGACAAATTACAAAGACTAATATCATAAATTAGGTTTAATTATCGCACAATATAATTTTCTGTGACTATTCCTTTCCTTAGGAAAACATTTTAATGCAACTGGTATCAGAGCGTCCTCTTCGAATGAATGGAAATATATATTATTAACGTGTTTTGTAGCTAGCTATTGTCTTAGATTTGCACATTGATATAGTAGGTTAGATGTGTTTGATTCATAGGTAATTATTGAAGTGTGCCATTAACTACTCGTTTGTTGCCTACTGTTTAATTATAATGCATTTTGTATACCCACATATGAAATTATAAATATAGTGTACATTATTAATAACTTCACTTGAAAAAAACCCGGCTAACAATAGGCTTATGTTTATTCGTAAACCACCTGAATCTTACATTCCGAATGCCCATAATACCACACGATATTTTAAATGAAAGCGTACTACTATAGCGGGTAGCGTGTTACCAAGTTCTCATTCAAAACCAGTACCGCGTGATACTGCGTGACTGTGACGTATGAGGGAATGTGCCCGTGATACGCCATGATACAAACATTTCGACTAAAATGATTCGTCACAATATCGTGTTACCATGCGGTACATACCAGGCTTGTAAATATAGCGAGTACAACAATTTTCCGTTTTTCAAAGACACGGTTGTTAAGCTATAAAGACGATGCCCTGTGTTTGAAGGACGGGTACATTTAATACAGCAACATTTACTTGATCAGCAGACTTTGCGTTTAAGTAGAATTGGGAAGGATTCTATGTCTTTGTGATCTTAAAGATACCGCTGTTATGGTAACTAAGATTGCAAAAGGCGTTGTCATGACGCCATTGCCATGAACAGTTCGTCTGTATCGTTGATATACTTATTCAAATATCCGATCATCGAAAATGTCATCGAAGATTCTAACTGATACGCAGTGTCTGCGATGTGTGACGTCATCGTGGAAGGTGATATGGCAGGGTATTGTCATGACTGCGCTATGCTGGTCACCATTCTACGTGCGTAGTAACACTGACTGCGCTTGCAGATAAAAAGCAAATGGTGAACACTTTGTCATCTAGAGTACGCTTGACCTACAACCCTAGGTACATAGTGTAGTTCTCCCGGGATTGTTCAGTGTAGATGTACATGTTCCATTAGGAGAGGAGAGAGTCCGATATAACTGGTCCCATCGAATGCACATCATGTATATACGAAATATGGTAGAACATTTGCATTAGTAATTGCTCGGTCTGGAATTACGTCAAGATATACGTTTTTCATTCAAGTATGAAGAAGTTATTTCTCGTTATATGTAACCGTATTTTAATTATCTTTACAGTTTCCGGTCGATTAGATAATGTCAAATATAAATAATTATTGCCTGCTAAAGTGAATCCAATCTTAGATGCATGGTCTAAACAAATTATTTTCATAAAACGTTCGATTGCGCATTGTTTCCATGACTACTAATTTTAAATGGTCATAAAAATTACCTAATTAATCTAATTTTTCCATATATATATATATATATATATATATATATATATATATATATATATATATATATATATATATATAT